GCAAAACTTATAGATAGCATCTACCCAAGAGATTCCACTCCTGGGTAAATCCACTAGCCCAGTGTAATTTAAGCAATCATTTTTACATGACTGAATCTGATGAATAGTTTTCTTTGCAAAAGATGGCTTCTGGCCAGACATGGACAAAAATAGGCAATGCACAATGCATTCTTGGAATAGATCGACTTCTCGCTACTATTCAATCATAGCAATACCTCCTAAAAGGCCTGAAAATAATATTTTTCTGCATTAGGCTTTCCAATCTGTTGATGTTCTTGACTGACTCTTTTGCTTTTGAAGTTTGGGGAGTACTTCATTATAAAAGTGTTCAGCTGGTATAGACTAAAGCCTTGATAGCTATTTTTATGATTTGCAAAGACGACAATGCAATTTGCTGGCATCTAGTTCCACCTTTTAAAGATAAAACTCACAGATCCTTCTGAGAATAAAAAATTAATCTGAATGGATGAGACTAAACTTAGAGGAGCTGCAAACACCAGAGAAAAGAACAATAAAACACAGAAATCTAATGAAATATGGTCAAAAAGTGAAGGTAATAGTCTTTCCTTATTAGAACTATTGGTTGGAAATTGTATTTCTCTTGGAGTACAGATGTGTTCTGGATCTTGTAGCTTGAAGCACACTGGGTGCAAAGTTGGCTACGCTCTGCTCAAGGTCCCTATCAAATTAACAGCGAAAGCAGCTGCTGCAAGAGAAAGTGTTACTGTCCTTCAGCTGCCTGTTATCAGCCCTCTGCCCAGTTAGCAAAAAGGACGGCATAAGGATTCGTCCATTTCAGGACAGAACCAACCAGCTTAATTTAAACCTCAGGTTATTAGTCAGAGGAAGGGTACGGCTGGAGCAGTGACCTCCAGCATAAAAGCAGCAACATCCTGAACCACAGTGGCCATTTCTGCAGCAACAGCCTACCATAACTTAGCATCCCTGCTACAAGGTATACTCAACCTCTCACAAGAAATAAGCATCACCGAGGTCAAATGAGAGAGTAGCACGATAAGGAAAAAGACCCATTTGCAACCTTTACTGAGATACATTTTCTTCTTGTGTTTTATATCAATTTTATCATATGTATCGAGGGTTATAGGAACCCACAGGGTCACTTTGGTATCTTCAGATCTTGTACTATTTTTTATAGTCTGAATTGAATGTTCTCTACCACAGCTCTCTGGTTTTTAATGTTTTGCTTCAGGCATTTCTCTCTCTTTAAAAGAGTCTGGTCAGAGAGTAGGACACACCAGTCAATGCTCTAGCTGGACTCAGACAGTGGCAGGAGGAATAAAAATTATTTTTTATTTCTATTCATATATAAAATACCCATTTAAAATGTTGAATATTAATTTGCAACCACTTATGTTAGAGCCTAAGTTTCTTATACTCTTCACACAATCTAACGTGCTGCATCAATAAGGTCTTTACAAAGTGAACACCTAAGAGAAATTTCTATAATGCTGAGGCAGAACAGTGTCTTTGCAATGACAATTTTTATGTGCCTCATGAAAATACTGCAAGCTGGACACCTTCAGTAGCTTGCATATTTAGTGTCAATCTATTTAACTAATCTGAAAAACCCAAACTCTTCAATGCTATCATGACTTTTACCTGACTTCCCGTTTCCATCCAAAAGAGGCTTCAAACAAATTGTAATAAATTATCCAGTAAACAAATGTCTATTATTTTGTATGCAACAAAGAGAGAATTTGAATAAAAGCCCACTAAACTATACCATTATATAAATGCCTAATGTATATACTCAGAATTACCTAAATGTACTAGACTTAGTCTTAACACTATATCCAACTATAAATCAACACACTGGAACCATTCTAGTAGCAGAAGGAAATCAACCACTATTAATATAAAGTTCAAATGCAAACTAATATGAAAATCCATTATTTAAAACAAGAGTTCCCGCTTGGCAACTTAAGGATGTCTCCTGGCCAATGGCCTTGGAGACAACTCAACCACCATACTCAGACCTTGCTACCCCTCCTAAAGGAGTCCCAAAAGGGGACTTTCCCTCCCCTCCTCGTGGAGGGCTGCAGCCTATGGGGGTAAGAAGCCTGAAATCCAGCCCAGGGTGCTCACAGCACCAGACACCACGACATCTGAAGGTTAGGGTCCTGCACAGAAGGCAGTTCAGATGCCAAGTGGGAGGCTGCTCTTGCTAAATCACAAGTGATTTAGGAGTTGTGGATTCAACTACATAAAGTCATCAATGAAGTCTTTGATTACAGGCAAGCCAAAGTATTTCCACACTTCCATTTCTCCTGTGTAAAGCTGGGATTATAATGCACGTGAAGTACAAACTTGCAAAAGCTTGGGATTTGTTCTGATGCTACAGCAGCACATGCTGTACCTGGGACCAGGAGAAAGGGAGACAATGGGTGGTGTTTCCGGCTGGCCTCACTCCACCTGCCCGTTAGCCCTGGACACACATGCCAGGTCTTTTGGCAGCAGGTTGAGAGGTCCACTAGTGTGAAATGCAAACAAGCTCCCTGGAAAACACCCTTCAGTCAAGTCACTCCTTGCGTTTATGAGATTAGTATTTGGTTTGTGTGCTTTGCACTTCTTTTCATACTCCAGAAGCACAGCTAATTAGCAGGGCTGGTAAGGAGCCTCTTAAACCAGACCTACAGCTGATGGGAATGATAACTCAGAACCACAGCCACTGCCTCAAAGTGCTGATTTTTTTCTTGTTCTGTCTAGCACACATAGCAGTTCCCCATTCTTAGACACACTCATCGCATGGAGCATCGGCCTTAAGCCCCTTCCCTCTACTTTTTCACAAGGCTCCATTCTTGTGGGCACTACACTCTAGATATATGCATCCCCTCAAGGACAGCCACATTTGAAGTAGATGGACAAACTTCGTAAGGATCCGAGAAACAATGGCTCTCTATCAGACAACACAAATACATTAGAAACTCCATTATCCCAAAATACAAAAGAGCACTTGAAAAATTATTTTACACAGACAATGAAAACATCAGAAGAACAGAAGTGCAGCACAATCCTTCCAATATACATAATTTAATTTTAGTCTAACTGCTCACTGGGTAAGAATACTTCTCTCACACCCCAGCATAGGAACGAGAATATTGCAGTAAGAAACGGTAAATCTTTTGGTTTTTTACTTACTTGTCCCAACAAACTATGTTCAACCTTCTCAAAGCAAAGATTTGAATTGAGAGACAGCAGGTGATGTACAAGACAACTGATCACCACAAAATACACTCTGAATCTACAAATACCGCTGAATGAGATGTATACACCACCATATGTATTATCATCTACATCCAGCTCATCTTTGAACAGCTTTCTGCTGTTGGTGCTCCTCGCACTGAAGTTTACCGCCTTCCTCCACAACTGCAGGAGCAGGACCTCTGTTATCCCAGTGCAGAGGCATTTGTTGACACTGCTCATCACATTCACTGCAGCCATTCACATGATGGAGCCTAAGCACAGCCACAACAGCATCATATCGGATCCTTCTTCATTAACAGATTCATCAGCAATACTGTTCCCAGATCACAGTATTTTCCAGGCCCACTGTGGCACCGTAGACTAAACACTGTGCATCAGCTGCCAAGCATGTCCCATCTTTCATGTTTAGCTGTTCATGAAACTCAGTCATTTCTTCTCGTTCCACATTGTCAGGAAGGAGCAGATGGCAGATGTGCTCTGCCTATAATATTGTTTTGATGATACCCTGCCTGCTGGCAGAACAGTGGAAGCAACGTTTAGAGACAAGAATTTGCAGTATATTTTCAGTTTTGGGTAGCTGAGCTAAAAGATAGCATGGGGTACAGGGAGAGGAAGAAAGGCTTTTACGGAATTGGTGCTGATAGATTTCTGTAACAAAAAAATGGAAGAAGTGATGTTGAGAAAAAAGGAATATTTACTTTAATGTCTTATTCATATAGGTGATGGGAAGACCAAACAGATACAGCTTTTTGAAACAACGTGTACTTTGTGATTTGCTGAAGGGAAGCAACAGGGGAAAGCCCTCAGGCATTTGTACCTACTCACTGTTTTACTCTCCACTTCGCCGTATAAACTTCACTAAGACACAGGTCTGCTGAAAACAGACAATCATCACTTTACATGCCTGTTAGCTGTCAAAAAACCTGTCTCAGCAGACAAAACACTGGATTTTCCTGCTCTCCTTTGTTTTCTCACACAGCAACCTTCCCTTTGCCTCGGTCATTTGGAGATGTGTAAAATGCTCAGCAGTTTTCATCATTCTCCATATTGCCTGCAAAGGTTTACCATGCTTGTTTCTGAACAATGTGCCAACATTCTTGAGGGGTAGTCAAGAACGCAAGCAAGAGGACAGCGAATTTGGCTGATAGCTGGCATTTGGGTGCAAGCAAGAGAAGAAAATCTACTTAAATAACTAAGAATTTGGTATTGTATTAATATTTTGTTTTGCTTCAGAGAAAATGCCCACTTCTTCCCTCCCCCAGGAAAGGACTCACATAGCATATATCTTGTTGCTGTTCAGCAAAGTGCAGTGGTTATGGGTAAGCATGTACAAAATCTGCAATAAACAGCCATGGTTTGATGGGATGAAAATTGAAAATATACTAAAAAATAAATTATTTTTCTTCATTATATTTGGTCATAACAAAAAAAGTAGTTCACTTCCAGTTGTAAGTCTGCCACAAAATCTACCTTGTAACCAATTTTATCAGGCAGTGTTACGCTCTACCTTTTTGTGGCATCACTGTGTTCTCATTCATACGGGACTCAAATGCAAGATTCAAAGTTTTAGCTTGTAAAAGTGGTGTTCTGGATTGCCTAACACCAGTGACAGAATCATAACAGAAATGATAAATAGTAATAGAAAGGATAAATAAATGCTTTTAACAAATCTGTAAGAGACACCAGAAGTTTACACCAAGGCTTCATAAATTTTTATTAAAATATTTTTAAAATATGTGCATGATACACAGAAGAAAAAAATGCATTTTATTTTTAAGTAATATGATTTGAGCTGCCGACAGTATTTCTTCTTTAATAGTTTTAGTACACATTTATTTTCTGAAATATCAAACCTGACAGTCAAGAAAGGAACATCCTATTTTTATTTAAAGAAAGGTTAAAATAAAAAAAGGCAATTGCTTCAAAACTTGGAGATTTTAAATTATGAACGTGTTACTGCAAAATGACATCTGGGGATTTAGGCCGGAAAGTTGGTTTAGAAAGCCTTATGAATCAAACTAAATATTGTCTATAATCTATGAGCCAATCTTAGGCAATCCCATTGCACATGGAACTCATTTATCTACGTCCACTGGTACCCAGCTGCCCAGATGCCAAATTAATCATGTGTAGACTACTGACAAAATTGTGAAGATGTCCCAGAAAAGAAAACCTGCAGAAAAATAATTAGCTGTGACTGTTGAGCAGATGTAGCACAAGCTCTTCATCCTCCGCCAGAGAAAGCCCAGTATCTAATGGCAAATAGGGGTCCTCCTCTTGGCTGAATTTTGCCTTCTTTCTTTTCAGTGGCATTTCTTCTGCTGCATTACTGTTGCTATAGCTTCTTTTCTTCCCACTCTTCTCCTCAAGTTCACTGCAGAAACAAATCAATTAGTCTTTTTAACAACTGTGGTAATCAATATCATCATGTAATCAAACAATTCATTTTAAACAAGGCAAATTTACGTCAAGATAAGAGCAAACAAAATTACAATTCAGAAGGGTGAAGCAATAGAAGCCAATGAACTCTGAATGTCTAAATTAGAACTGCGTTCAGGCCGAGGTGGTGGTGGATGTTCTGCTGTCTTAATTGATTACAGTACATCAAGATATTGCTATTAGCCTTATCTAATATTTGCTGCCTTATAGAGTGACAGACAACTTGACCAAACTGATTTAGTGATGTGTCAGTGGACCTTGACATGCATTCAAGATCTTGTCTAAAATAAATATGCGACAAAAATAAGAAGATGAGAACTGTCATTTCATTGGCGAATCCTACACTTAACACAGTTTTGATTTGGGTCCATCTCATTTTCCCTTTTTTCAGAAACTTTCTTTGGAAGCTATTAACCACCTCTTTGCCATGAGAGAAAGAGAAAAACCCAAACCCAGTCATTTTCCCTGGTGAATACCTATTGCTTCTGCTGCTTTTCTTAAGACTTGAATGAATTGCCTTTTGCAACCTTCAATCTGTATGGAACGGCTGCATATCTGTTTTAATACTTTCACTTCTATCACATGGCCACATGACAGCAACAGGAAGAAAGCCCAAGCTTTCATGTATCTTCATGTGGGTTTTGTCCATAACATAGAAAATATGCTATAAATCATCTTATCTAACATTAAAATAATCTAATCTAACAAAATCTGTTCTAAGATATAATATCCACATACAGGTTATAGAGAGCTGGCTGTCCTATGCTGTAGGGTAGAATGAGAATTCGTATCAAAAAAGGCAGAATGCAGCCCCTCGCACCCCAAACCACTCCCTCCAAACAAAGTTAACTGAAACAAAATGGCATTCTCAGTTTTTCATGTTTGTATTTTAAAGAACATAACAAAAATAAAAATGGAACTTCAAAGACAACTTTCCCACAGCATTCTCCTGGAGAAACTGCAGCTCATGGCTTGGATGGGCATACTCTTCACTGGGTAAAAAACTGGCTCGATGGCCGGGCCCAAAGAGTTGTGGTGAATGGGAGTTAATT